TTGAACTGGTACTAATTAAGCGTACTGCTTGATTCGTTGCTAATTGTGCCGGAATGACGGTACGTTCGCTCGGTAAGCCGAAGAATGATTTATAAGTTGTATCAAATTAATAATTGACTTGTACGGATTATAAATGAGCCGTTTAATATTCGAACGTTGTCCTCTGGCTTTATATCGAGATATTTGAGAACATTCTACCACCCAATTAAACCCCAAGTAATATTTACGTACCACTGTAAAGCTCCGTCTACACATAACGTCTTACCTGTCAGTCGTACATGTTCAGTCAAAGCGTATCAAGAAATAATCTTAATACGATAATTATCTCTCCAGATGATTTTATGCAAAAATTATATTAGACTTTTTTGAAGGGGCTTTAAAGCTGTACAGGGTGGCGCCTCTCATACGCCGCGGAAGCTCCAGGGAGAACGGTAGTTTAGATCGAAATGAAATTTTGGCAGCACATGTAGGTTAACTGAAAGCGTTTTATAAAAATATATAGAATTATACAGGGTGTTCCCCAAAAAAGTTACACATCAAAGTTGTGTTTTTTCTAATGGAACACCCTGTATATTAATTGATTTTCGGATTCTAGGAAAAAAATAAAGGTGAGTTTTATTAAAGAAGCATATACCCAAAATCTAAGATTTTTGACATATTTCACATTTTGTGAAAATGAAGAGTAAATTTTAAATTTCGATAACTTCTTCTTCTTCTTCTTTCTCAGCCTGGTTCCATCCAGTGTTGGATATAGGCCTCTTCTAGGTTTTTCCATGCTTCGCGATCTCTAGCCAATCTTATCCATTGTCTTCCCGCTACTGCCCTGACGTCATCGACCCATCTCTTTTTTGATCGGCCCACACTTCTTGTTGTTCCCCTAGGTCTCCATAGGATTACTTTTTGGGGCCATCGGTCTGGATCCTGTCTTGCCACATGTCCTATCCATTGCCACTTCAAACTTGCCACTCTTTTAACGACATCTATTAATTTTGTTTTTTGACGTATGTGGGTATTCCGTATTTTTTCCCTAATGGTGTCTCCCAACATGATTCTTTCCATGGCTCTTTGTGCTACTCGTAGTTGTTCTGCTGTTTTTCGGGTAATTGCCATAGTCTCTAAGCCATACGTAAGCACAGGTAGAATGCAGCTGTCGTAAGCCTTTTTCTTTAGGTTCATGGGCACCTTTTTATCCTTGAAAATATTGCTCATATTTCCAAATGCTACCCATGCCAAATGGATCCTGCGTTTGATCTCCGTATTTTGGTTTTCCTTGCCCAGCTTGATTTGATTTCGATAACAGCTACCTAAATTTTAGTTGACCTTGTATAGCCTGATATTTAATTACAGTAACCATTGTATGTTAAACCAGATTCAAATTTGACCCGAAAAGTTGTACAGGGTGAGACAAAATGAATATGGAACATTAATCACTTTTAAAAGCAAGTTACTCCTTTATTTTAAATTGAATTGAATTGTTTTTGTTTTAACTAATTAACGTTAATTTTAATAAAATGTTCTTTGAAAGTAACATTGGTAACATTATTACTGAAATCCCGGGATCCCGAGATTCGAGGTTAAGAATCCCGGGATACCGACAACATAAAATTGTCCGGGATTGAATCCCCTACTCACAATGTACCGTTTGTGTCCAGGAAGGGTTCATATTTTCATAGATGTCGATTTTTGAATGAAATCGGTACATTTATTTTATTTCGTATATTTTTCATTTTATTGATTTTATGGAAAGCACTGTTCATTAAAATGTTGTATCCTATGTTATAGGGCTTGTTTCTCTCTACAATTTCCTGTCTCACAATGTACCGTTTGTGTCCAGGAAGGGTTCATATTTTCATAGATGTCGATTTTTGAAAGAAATCGGTACATTTATTTTATTTCGTATATTTTTCATTTTATTGATTTTATGGAAAGCACTGTTCATTAAAATGTTGTATCCTATGTTATAGGGCTTGTTTCTCTCTACAATTTCCTGTCTCACAATGTACCGTTTGTGTCCAGGAAGGGTTCATATTTTCATAGATGTCGATTTTTGAAAGAAATCGGTACATTTATTTTATTTCGTATATTTTTCATTTTATTGATTTTATGGAAAGCACTGTTCATTAAAATGTTATATCCTATGTTATAGGGCTTGTCTCTCTACAATTTCCTGTCTCACAATGTACCGTTTGTGTCCAGGAAGGGTTCATATTTTCATAGATGTCGATTTTTGAAAGAAATCGGTACATGTATTTTATTTCGTATATTTTTCATTTTATTGATTTTATGGAAAGCACTGTTTATTAAAATGTTGTATCCTATGTTATAGGGCTTGTTTCTCTCTACAATTTCCTGTCTCACAATGTACCGTTTGTCTCCAGGAATTTTAATAAAATGTTCTTTGAAAGTAACATTGGTAGCATTATTACTGAAATCCCGGGATCCCGAGATTCGGGGTTAAGAATCCCGGGATCCCGACAACATAAAATTGTCCGGGATTGAATCCCCTATTGCCTACCTCTTAAATAAAGATTTTCTTAGATATTTTAATTTTTATGATTTTGCGTCAGTAGATCTTTATTATTTGAAAAAATCTAGGGTGGCTGTGATACACCTTTTGTTAATTTAACAAAAATTAAAGATTGTAGAGTAAAATACTCAACGGTAATAAAAAGATACACGTTTAAAACATATTTTAATTATTACAGAATTAAAACTGGATATAAACCTATAATTATGTGACAAAAATTATCTAGATGAAATCAAATGCTCAAAATGCTTCCTTTCCTGTTAACTGCATAAAATGATTGTCTTTTCAAAAGGATCTTTTCATTTTAAAAGGCATCTACCTCGAAAAGCAGCTACAATAATTTCTTTCATGTTGTCGACAATAGTTGGTCTAGTTTTGTAAACACTTTCTTTAACATATCCCCATAAAAAAACCCAGACTAGATAAAATCAAGAGCATTTAAGTATTCTGTTAATTGGTGAATGCCTACTGCGTTCACCAACTAATAGAATCATGAATCATATCAGTTCTTTCTGATGTAGGAGAAGTTTACATTTTCGACAAATTTCTGAGAAATTTTTTGTTTTAACTGACACAAAATGATAACTAGTTAAAGTTGGACTAATTAGACAACTATGTTGAAGTAACGTCAGACATATCACAGCCACCCTAGACATTATGAAATAATAAAGATCTACTCAGATCAAATGATGTAAATGAAAATATCTAGGAAAATCTTTGTTTGAAGGGTAGGCAACCTTAATAGTATTTTGAAGAGATATGAATTCTCCTATGGAATTCTCCATTGAATATCGGAATAATATACTGGGTGTTCTATTTAAAATAAACGAGTAAAACACTTTTGAAAGTGACCAATGTTCAATATTAATTTTGTCTCACCCTGTATAACTTTTTGGATCAAGTTTTAATTTGATTTAAAGTACAATAGTTAATTTAACTACGTATTAGGTTATACCGGGTAAATTCCAATTTAGGTAGCTTTTATTGTAATATAAAAATTTTTCTTTATTTCTAGAAAATGTTAAATATTATGTCAAAAACCTTACATTTTAGTCATATACTTCTCTTATAAAACTCACCTTTATTTTTCTTCCAGACGACCTTTTACTCCCTCAAAAAACAAACGTTCTCAAAATTGAATATCTCGGGAACTGTTTTAAAGTTCCCGAAAAAAAAAACGATTTAAAAGAATTTAAAAGCTTTTTAAAAAATGAATCGTGGCATCTTTCCAAGAGCTCTTTTATCTCAACGACCATAAAAATATTAAAAAATAACTAAAACGAAGTTCTATAGGTACGAAAGGAGATGCTTTATTCTGATATTAAAAAGCATTTCGTTTTTTGATGCGATCCCGTGATAAATCGATACAATCCCGAGCGCCGTTAAGAAGATGAAGAAAAGATTCAGATTTCAATTCAGCATGGCAAAGAGAAAGTATGGGAATTGATAAAATAATCTGCAAGGATAATTTATTGGCGCGATTATTATTAAGAATTTAATTTAATTCCTTTAAGCCGTCTTTAATTACTTTATCCAAGTTTAAAGCAAATGTTTTTGTTATTCTGTTATTGGCCAATTCGGTAAAAAGTTACTCAATAAGGCTCTATACACATACAAACTCGAATTCTAAGGGGGTGAAACCACCCCTCAAATATTAGGATAGATTCAGATACTAGGATCATGGAAAACTAAAATTCTTAGATCCCAAGATCCTGGGATCTTAAGATCAAAAGGTCTTAAGATTCTAAGATCCTAGAATCATACGCTTCTGGGACCTAAGATTATAATATTCTAATATTAATAGGACCTTAATATTCTAGAATCCTAAGATTATAATATTCTAGGATCTTAAGATTCTAGGACCCTTAGATTCTTGAGATTCTAAGATTTAAAAACCGGTGAGTTTTTCGGAAAAACTCTTAAACACGTATATTTTATTTTGTTGTTTTACATATTTTAAGATTTTTTTAAAAATTTATACAAGGTGTTTCATAATAATATGATCATAGAGTAATCACGATTCTGCTTAAACTGCTTGATGTTTAAAGCTGATTTTTGGCAAACGGATTGACTGTGGGGTGTAGAGGTTCGATAAGGAGGGGTTTCTCGAATCTCAAATTCCAAGAGGGTGAAAACGCCCCTCAAATATTACAACATTTGTTATTTAAAAAACGGTTAGTCTTTCGGGAAAACGCTTGGACACGCATAATTTATTTTGTTTTTTTAAATATTTTGAAATTTTTTAAAAATCCATACAGGGTGTTCCAAAAAGTTGGGTAATTGATTAACCACGATTCTGCTCCAGTTTGTAAGTTAATGGAAATTTTTGCTTTGCTTTATCATCACCAATACAAATGATTAATTCGACGCGAACGACGTCGCGGGTACACGCTAGTTTTTTTTTGTAAAATTACTTATATTTTTTTCAGTGTGCATGTAAAAGCATAGATTTAATGTTTCTATTTTGTTGCAGACTGATTATTACAAAGATGCTCCTCTATTTCATCGAATAGGCGATGGACCACAATACCGCCTCCAAATAACCAACGTCAAGCTGGACTTTACTGGTACTTATACAGTGTACGCCAAAAATATCCACGGAGACGCTAAAGCCATCGTATCTTTACAAATAAAAGCCACAGGTTCAGTATTATACCAACAATATAATGTTTAAAAAGGCATCAATATGAATTTTTAGATTCACTGATACAATTTTATTGATTTATTTAGCTATATCTGTTTTTTTTTAGATCCCACTGTACCAAGAAAAACCAATCAGTTCAAAATTGGGTAAGTTTTTAATTCATCATCACCATCAATCATCATGACTTTTGTAACATAAGTGTAAATTTTGTTTAAATAAATGTATTTGGTTAAATTATATTTAAGTCAATATTTATTATTTACAGGGACGTTCAAAAAATGCCTAGGATCACCGAAGATTTGCTAGACATCCGATGCTGTGATGGGGATTCTGTAACTTTTGAATGTTCCTTCGAGTCTAACAAACCTCCATTGAACATCAGATGGGAAAAAGATGGAAAAGTAAGTAATATAAACAGTTAGCTATAATTTTTTTAACATAGACTGTAATTTTTAAATAATATCTGCAAGTGACTGTCAATTTTAACAATATTCTTCAACTTGACACCCCAAACTAAGGTTGATTTCTTGTTTTTTCAGCTTGTAAGACTTGGTAAGGACTTTGTGGATGAGTTCGATGGAGAAACGGCCAAACTTATAATAAAAGAAGTATATCCTGAGGATGAAGGGGAGTACACTTGCGTAGGGTACAACGACCTTGGTACGGCAGCTACGTCAGCTTGTCTTATTGTTGACCGTAAGTATATTACTTAAGACAATCTATTTAAAATCATTTCCAAGAATAATCTTTCACATCTGTTATTTTAAATTAATTTTTCAGACATTTTGCTTAGTTTTTAGAGTTACCAGTACTAAATTTTTAAAAAGTATTCAAAATAATCTGCAACACCTCATTCATTGAAAACCGTATTGAAAATGCTCGGATTCTAAAATCCTGAGCCTCTAGAATCCTCAGATTCTAAGATCCCAAGATCTTAAGTTTCTGAGATCAAAAGGTCTTAAGATTCTAAGATCCTAAGATCCTAGGAGCATACGCTTTTGGGACCTAAGATTATAATATTTTAATATTAATAAGACCTTAATAGTCCAGAATCCTAAGATCATAATATTCTAGGATCTTAAGATTCTAAGACCCTAAGATTCTTGAGACTCTAAGATTCTAGAATCCTAAGACCCCAAGATCTTAGTGATCCTAGGATCATGGAAAACTAAGATTCTTAGATCCTAAGATCATAGGATCCTGAGATCAAAAGGTCTTAAGATTCTAAGATCATATGAAGATTTTAATATTATAGGATCCTAATATTCTAGAATCCTAAGATCATATCACCCTAGGATCTTAAGATTCCAGGACCCTAAGATTCTAATATTCTAAAATTCTTGAGATTCTAAGATCTTACGATCCTAAGATCCCCAGATCCTAGGATCCTGAGATCAAAAGGTCTTAATATTCTAATATCCTAAGATCCTAGGATCTTAGGCTTCTGGGGTTCTAAGATTATAATATACTAATATTATAGGATCTTAATATTCTACAATCCTAAGATCATAAGATCTTAGGATCTCAAGATTCTAAGGCTCTAAAATTCTTAAGATTCTAGAATCCTACGAGATCTTACGATCCTAAGATCCCCAGATCCTAGGGTCATGGAAAACTAAGATTCTTGGATCCTAGGATCCTAAAATCTTAAGACCTTGAGACCTTAAAATTTTTAGATTGTAAGATTCTCTCAATCATAAATATTGTATTTCAGTACCAGAAGAAAAGGAGAGTTTGCTCAACGCTCAGTTGATCCGTCCACCAAGTCTTTTTGCTGGAGGTTCTACTCCAATTTCCACTCCAAGAACTACTCCAAATAGAAGTGCATCACCTAGAATACGTGAAGTAACTCCACAGCCACCCAGAAGAAGGCTTACTAGAGCGTTAGCTCCCAAATTCTATGCTTATCCTCACAACAGGGTGAGTATAAAAAAAGTCACTTAAAAAATACTTATTGTTTAACTTATCCATTAAAAATATTTAGTTTAATAGGTGAATTAAAGTAAATATATTTTTTATCCACAGGTAGCTGAAGAAGGAGAAACAGTAAGGTTCCAGTGTGCTATTGCTGGTCATCCTGACCCGTGGGTCAAATGGTACAAGGATAACGAAGAAATTATACCATCAAGCAAGTTAACCATTACAGAAAGGGAAGACCTAAGAACTTTGGAGATCAAGGATGTCACTACCAAGGATTCTGGACTATATAAGGTACGTATACAGGGTAGCTCTTAAATAAGTGTTTTAAGGGATGGTAGATAAATTGCAAATGACCAAGTTAACTTCATATTGTAATTTGCTCATGAATCGTTATTCTAAATATGGTTATAATTATTTTTCTATACAGGTTGTCCTAGAAAATGACGTAGGCAGAGTCGAAGCTACAGCTCGCTTAGACGTGATAGCTCACAGAACTCACAGCACCTCAGGAATAAGAGCCAGAAGCCTATCACCAAGAACCCATAATGGTTACACGCCTGGTAACTATTTGGGAGCTTCAGCTAAATATGGAAGCAGAGCAAGACTGTTCTGTGATATAAAAGCTGTACCAACACCATCTCTTAAATGGTGAGTGCAAATATAATTGTTGCTGAAATATCTGTCACATTTTTGATATAATATTCATTATTGAATAAATATTCTCTTCATACTCTAATAGTATTACATTTTCTTCATTATATGATATTTCTGTTCAAGGTACAAAGATGGGATTCCTCTAGAACAATGTTCCAAGTATTCTTTTCACTACGATGGCACTACCGCATCACTGGAGATAGAAAACGTAACATTTGAAGAGCAAGGACTCTATACATGCGTGGCAGAGAACATAAATGGAACAGGTTCTACCTCTATGCTGCTCCAAGTGACTCCAAATGAAAAAACCGATCAATACACACCTCCAAAGATCACTAAACCTCTTCCGAACAATTTGCGGTGTGCTAAAGGGCAACCTTTTGTTCTAGAGGTTAGGTATTCGGGTTGTTCGCCACTGGATATTGTTTGGATGAAAGATGGATGTATCATATCAAATAATGATGATGATGAAGGTTTTAGACAGGAAGATAGTGATGATGGTGTGGCAAGATTGACAGTTAGTGATCCGGATGTTGAGGATTCTGGACGGTATTCTTGTGAAGTTTACAATGTGTATGGGGAGGATAGGACTACATGTCATGTTACAGTTTTTGGTAAGTAAACTTTATGTTTTTTTTTTATTAAATTAAAATAATTATTTAAAAATAAAACAATATATATTTCATGTCAATTAAACTTTTAGTTACGTAAACGAGGGCACGATTTTTAAATAATTCATTGTTGCCAACCATGAACATATTTGGCGCCGTGCTGACTAACTGAAATTTAAATTTCGTGCTGGACATTCAAGTGGTAGCTCTGCTGTAAAAAATGTCAAGTTACCGCATTTATTTATTTATTTTCTGACACTGATATTTGTTTTGACATTTTAGTTTTGTATTACGAGTTTTTGTGATACTTTCAGCTTGAAAATCTTTACTAGCAGACCTTGCAGTCGAACATTGTTCTTCTTAGAACCTCTTTTAGTGCACAGTGTAGAAGATAGCTTAATAGCCGTAAAAATTCATCTCAACTTTATTAGAATATTTTGAACGGGAAAGCGGCAATAATGGCCCTTTGTGTCCCTTAAGTGCTGTCAAGAATGTGAGTTTTGTTGATGTAAATAATAACTGTTTACATATTTATAATTAATTTATTTTTGTTTCCTAAAATATTTTGATTAAAAGAAAATCTGTAAAAGTGGGCAACGCTGTGCTGGTCAAGCTTAATAACGCGACAAAAAATTTAATTATGAACTATAATTATTTGACTCTATTTCTTTAACTTTTGTTTTATTTTCTGACCTTTTTTTTCAGAAAGATTAATAAGATTTTTCATAAAAAAGTCTTTCTTAATCACTATTTTTTTTTTGATCACCTGTATTAAGTAAAGTTCTTGCAAATATAGAATTCAGTCAATGGGCTTGCAGACGTATAGCCGAAGATGTTTCTTTTATCGGTCTTCGAAAGAAGAAGAATCAACGAATATAGACAACGATAAAAACGAACTTTCGAAGGATGTCGAAACGCGAATACCGATCGGTGGAATGCCGACTGGCGACGGCGGGCGGTTTTAATAAGAAACGTCGACCAAATTCGCATACTTATTTAATTATCCGCTTGTAACAGATTTGGAGCATCTCTCGTGCCGCCGCGGCCGGTGAGACCACTGACACGTCCAATTTTGTATACAGAAAAGAAGTTATAGGGTTTAATTTAGGGTTGCCAACTTTCATAATAAAAAATAGAGGACGAGAGGGTAAAAAAGAGGCACAGGCGAAACATTTTTTGAAACCCCGCCCGAAGGTCTAGAATTTACCAAAAAGTTTTATCAATTGCGATTAATGGTCTTTCTTACTTTCTTAAAAATATTTGTACACAAAACTTGTTAAAATAAAACAAACCTTTTTCAACAAAACTTTTTTTTTCAAAACATAAGCTAACTTACAACATTATCGCTTCCACAAATATTTCTTGTACATAAATATTTCTTCATTTGTTTTCGTGTACAGGGTGGGTCAAATTCGACGCTTTTAAATGGAAACACCCTTTTTTATAGGAGATAGACGAAAACTAATATCGGTGTCTGGAGCTCAATTTTCATTAAAAACATGATGGTGAAAACCGCACATCAATATCTGTTACCGTTTCGGAGTTACGGGGTGTTTTTCAAAAATATGCTTTTTTAACAAATCGCTGTAACTTTTTTGCTATGGAAAATTTTGTATTTTTATGAAAACATTTCCAAAGCACTTTTTTACGTAGAATTTAATGGTTTAAGTATAATTTTTTTTAAATTAATAATTTAAGAATTATCAACAGAAAATTTGATTTTTTATATGGGACATCCTGTATATTTTTAATTGGTTGAAAAGAATTTAAAATTACCTTTCCAAAAATATAACACACTTGATATTTTGGTCGATTCCTCTTCGAGATATAGAGTATATAAAAATTCGCCCGCTTTAAGTAAGTAGGCTTTGAACGGCACCGGCTGTAATGCAAAAAAAATTGTAGCTGTGAGCATCAATTAAAACGAAAATAATATTTGCTATGAGAGATGCAGAATTTTATAACAATTTAAAATACATTTAACCAACATCAACACATTTAAACTATATCTAATAACAATAAAAATAAATAGCAAACCAATACATGAGATTTTGCTACAGGTATTCGATATATCGTCTGTTGTTATGTTCTGTTATTGACAGACGGGGCAGTTTTTGAACATTTCTCACGGAATTCATTAACTCGGTAGGGGTGAAAGATACCCTCTCATAACTGCTAAGTATTTCTAATTCTTGTCTAGATTATACGGAAGAATAAGGAACCTTTATTCTTCCGCAAATATATCCATAGGATTAGATCCATGGGCACTAAGTCAGGCTTGTAACTTCAGCGTTCAGAGGCGGTGCGTCGTCTTGTTGGAACAATATGTTTTCGAGTTCGATTAAGGGCATATCATCAATAAGGGGTCCAAAGCCTACTAGTTAAAAGTGGTGAACTTTTAAAAATTATGTATTTCGAAGGGGATTATAACAAAATATCAAGTATGCTGTATTTTTGGAAAGGTAATTTTAAATTCTTTTCAGTTAATCAAACATATAGAGAGTGTCCCAAATAAAAAATCAATTTTTCTGTTGATAACTCTTAAATTATTAATTTAAAAAAAATATACTTGAACCATTAAATTCTATGTAAAAAGGTGCTTTGGAAATATTTTCATAGAAATACAAAATTTTCCATAGTAAAAAAGTTACAGCGATTTGCTAAAAATGCACGTTTTTGAAAAACACCCCGTAACTCCGAAACGGTAACAGATATAGATGAGAGGTTTTCACCATCATGTTTTTGATAAAAATTGAGCTCCAGACACCGATACTAGTTTTCGTCTATCTCCTATAGAAAAGGGTGTTTCCATTTAAACGCGTCGAATTTGACCCACCCTGTACAAACGAGTAGCGAAAGACAGAAATTAACAATTTTTTAAAGCATTGTGGCGATAGATGAATATTTTTTAGATTTTGAGTTTGGTATGTAAAATAGAGAACTTTTTCAATACGTGAGAGAAAAGAGGAACTGTCCTCTGGAATAGAGGACAGTTGGCAGTGAAATCAAACAAATAAAAAAACGTAACTAAAAGTTTAATTGGTTCTTATATTTATTTTATATTCGTACACAAGGCTTTGAATAAACAAATATAAAATAGGAGTATAATCACAGATAACATAGTAAAAAAAAAACATAAAAAATAATTGAACAATTTTACATTAAAAAAAAAGAAAATTGTAAAATCATAATAGTCTTATATGTTAATTGGGAAAATCCTTATTTTTTTCCAGAAAATCAATATACCTTTCCAGTGATCGAATTCACCAAACACCCCACCTCTGTGATCGTGTTCACTGGTGGAATCGCCTCTTTTTGTGCCAAAATCAAGCACCGCATCGACAGATGTGATTTCAACATATTTTGGGAAATCGACGGAAGAAAAATCGAACCATCTGATAAAATTAAGGTAGGTTTTTCACCGTAGATCGAAAAAAAACGGCATCAAAGACGGCTGGGAAATAACAAAAAAATAAAAATTATCATTGATTGTCGTTCTATAACCATCTCTGTCGCCGTTTTTTTTTTTTGATCATACGGTATTTCTGACATTTATTAATAAATTCTAAATCTCCAAATGCATAAATTAGAAAAGCCTGAAATTATATACCATCAATCTCGTTCATTTCTGAAATAAGTTTATAAGTGATTCAGTCTAGTAAGTATTGTATATTATTTTATTAATAAGTATTAATAAATGTTACGATCTATTTAAAACATACACATTGCGCACCAATTTTCTAAATTACTGGTAAATGTGATAAATTATATAATGAGCGTTATATGCATAGAACAGTGCCCTTGGCTTTTGCATAGTAAATTACCAACAATTACAAATAATGCTTTTAAGAACTACATTAATATCGATTTATATATGTTTTGTAGTTCATTAATAAAAGCGAATTTGTGCTCTATATATATTTTTTTTCTATTCTAAAATACTGTAAAACGTTATAGTCATTTGCTACCTTAAACCATATACCGGGTGCGTCTCAAAAGTGGCTCACCACTATAACTTTTTTAATTTTTCAGATAAAAACGAGATTTGGTATGTTAAAATATGACATAAACTAGGATTGATTGACGTATTCAATTGTTTTTGGTCACTTCCTGTTTTACCGGAAATTACTACAACTTTTGAATCTTAAATGAAACCCTCGGTATATTTCTATTTTATTCGATAGAAAATGACACTCTGAATAGAATGACATATCATATGTCAACTTTTGACATTTTCGCATATGGTTTATTTGAAATTGCAACATACGGTTCATAACGACAATTTGGCTCAAAATACCAAGTGTATGGTATCAAATTATTCGTAAGAAAATGTTTTTTTTTCAAATATACTAATAAGCCACCCTTGTTCCATTTAAAAAATTCAGATATGATTAAAAATACGATTGGGGCATCTTTTGACCGGCCAGAACAAGATACGAAAAACATTAGATAATCAAATCTATTATTCCAAGGCTCCTTGATTAAAAATTAGTGTCAATCAATCCAGATTTATGTCATATTCTAACATACTGCCAAATCTCGTTTTTTTATCTGAAAAAATAAAAAAGTTATAGGGGGTGAGCCACTTTTGAGACACACCCGGTATACAGGGTGTTTCTGGCTGAAGTTGTATAAGTGATTGGCACAAACGCTGTATCTTAAAGGGAAGTCACATCATAGTAGAATTAACTTTTTTTGAACTGAAACTTCTTTACGCGCGCTGGGAGTAAAAATTCAAGGCCGTGACACACGAGCTAGCGTCACGACACACGTCAAGTGGTAACGACCGGAAAAGTGGTAAGCCAATGAGGAAGTTGAGATGGGTTATGGGAAATTTTATGAAAGTGTATCAAATTATATAGGTATTTATTAATTTTTAATTTATTACTTTTTCAACATTTCAAACTACACTTTTTCAAACATGTTCTTCAAATTCTTCAATTTAATAGCTGCAATAATAATAATAATAATAATAATAAATAACGCTTTATTGTGCAAAAAGCCGAAATAGCTTCATCGACAAAGCATTTACAAAAGAAACAAAAGCACAAAAAATATACAAATTTAAAAAAGGCATCCATTTTTCTCAAAGAGACCTGGTTCAAATTAAAAGAGGTAGAAAAAAGACTCAAAGTCTCGGTCTCAACGTTTATACAATGTTAAACTGTTACACGTGTTTCGCTCATATACGAGCATCATCAGACCTAACAAGAAAGAACCTAAATAAATAACAAATAATAAAAAGGTCGTCATAACTTACAAATACAATTAAAATGAATCCAAATACACGTTCGCATTTTACAATTAAAACAACACTGGCTGACGAGGCTGAAATGACCGGCAAATATTTGTCAATAAAAAACAAACAGGAACAAAAAATCAAACAAAATCAAAAATAAAATAAAAAATAGAATAACCCAGCGGGATATGAACTCTAGTCTCCCGGGTGGGAACAGGTGGGAACCAGAGAGCAAAGCCACCAAGCTACCATACTACTGAAGTAAAGATTCAGAACTCAACAATAATACACGGCCGAATTAATCTTTCAGATTATTGAAAATTAATGTTGGTTCGAAATTAAAAATGTCATTCACGCACACAAGGACGCGAACCGGACTTTTTTTAGCTCTAGTTATTTCCATTTTCTCCAATAAATCAAGTTTTTTACTTTTTTGGCATTCGTGCAGAACACTAACGTTTTCTGAGATGGAAAAATCGTGACCAGTGGCTAATAAGTGGTTCGCAAAAGCCGTAGTCTCAGTTATATCCGAATTTCTGTATTTATTGACAAGGCTCAGATGTTCCTGTACTCGGGTGGAAATCTTTCTACCTGATTGCCCCACATAGACCGCTGGACAGTCGCCACAATTCAAAGAATAAACTCCCGATTTAGAGAGCCTCTCCGTTTTGTCTTTATTTCTAACCAAATTTGCTTTTAATGTATTAATAGTTTTAAAGGAAATAGATAAATTAAGATTTTTAAAATATTTTGCCAATTGGAGTGAAATATTACCAAAAAATGTTAAAACTTTATACGGGCCTCTCTGTAAATTTTTCGAATGTATGACATTATAAGACATCTTGTACCTATTTACAAACTTATAGTAAATCTTGTTAATAGTTCCTAGCGGAAACCCGTTGTTAAAGGCAATTTGTCTTATAATGTTGAGCTCTTAATTAAACGCTTCTCTGGATAGTGGCAAGTTACATAATCTATACAACAAAGAATTAAACGCTGCGAATCTATGGGAATATGAGAAATATGCTGAATAATGTTATCTGTGGAGGAGGGTTTTCTAAAAATTCCAAACTCTATTTTATTATTATTTCTCATAAGTAATAAATCCAAGAACGGTAATTTGCCTTCATTTTCTTTTTCCAAAGTGAAAGAAATTCTATTATGTAAGGTATTGACATAAGAAAGGAAATCCACCAGATGTCGTTCACTGCCACCCCACACAATGCAAACATCATCTACATATCTTCTATAAGCTATTAAATACTGTGAAAAACTACTCTCCATTATCTGTATTTCCAAGCTGTTCATGAAAACCTCACTCAAAAATGGGGACAAACAGGAGCCCATTGCTAAACCGGTTTTTTGGCTGAAAAACTCGTTATTAAATTTAAAAAAGTTTTGACCTAAAACAATTGAAAGGAGTGAAATGAGGTTATCACAAACCAACCTTGGAAGGGAAGTGCTGAACAACAAATCTCTAATGAGGTCAATGCATTCCTCTGGCAGTATACTAGGAAATAAATTCTTAACATCCAGTGACACCAACATTGCTCCGTGTGGGATCTCAATATTTTTTAGGTAGTTCATCAGGTTTTAGGATCTCAATATTTTTTAGGTTTTTTTAAAAATATACAATACAAATCACACAATTCAAAAAGTAAATGTCATTAAAATTATAAAAATGTAGAACATACTTGGATAATTATTGCACAACACAAAAAAAGGCGTATCAATAAAATTTTCCAATAGGAAAATTGTAAATGGATATAATTTTATAAAATATTAAATACTCGACTTTTGACCAGTGTGTGAGATGATCAAAATTTTAAAATTCAAAATTGTTCATGATTAAACATCGACAAAAAAGTCGTTTACCGCATATAGGGCTCTCTCCAGTAAGTATAATTACAAAGCTTTGCGAAATGCGGGAAAGAATGAAAGCGACTTGATATTCAAAGGCAAATGATTGTACATTTTTTTGGCATTGTACATTACTGAGCCTTTAACTAAATAGTTCTGAGCTCGAGATTGACAGATAAAGATCGTGCTCCGCATTTCTAAGTGGATAGTTGTGAGAAGGCCTTTCGGGAATAGCAGATATGTGCTTGCGGATTAAGCAAACGGATTCAAAAATGAATAAAGAAGGAAGAGTCAGTATTTTAAAATTTTTAAAGAAATTCTGCCAGTGAGTTCTACTGTTCAGTCCCGATAAATATCGAACTGCCCTCTTTTAAAACAAATAAAACAATGAATTATCATTAAATCACCTTGCTCACCTGGAATTTTTATGAAGTTTTGCATAGCAAGATAAAAATTACATTTAACAGCGGCCATTTACTTTTGGCCCACGGCTGCACTGTACGCCGTTGTGCAACGTTTCGGACTTTAAAATGACCCCTAATAAAATTCTTGATCTCTCCGTATCCAAATTTCACTCCTTTATTGTTGAATTATTGTTAAGACGGATTTTTATAGCGCCCAGCACGCGGACCAAAGTCAAAATTTCATCGAAGAAATTCCAAGCAATAATGTTTATGGTCTCGTCAGCTGTTACGGAGGATTATACAGGGCGATTCTGTTTTATTTCTAACCTAGATCTACAGTATGTCCCCGGATTTTCTTGACAAGGGGACAATTTTTTTTTATTATTAATTTTTTAAGGTACTGTTCCCTTAAATTTAAAACACCCTGTGTAATAATTTCGTTATTAAATTTTCATGAAACATTATTTTTCAGAACTATGTCTTCTGAAAATTTTGTCATATATAATTGAATATTTTCATGTTTTTTTTTAATTTTCTCTAAAACAATGTGGAAATTTGGAAAGTATAAACGGGATTAACCATTTTAGAACAAGCAAAATTTTTTACGAAGAATGCATTTTTCTCAAAATTTCCGGGCGCAAATCCGGGGACAAACTGTATAGTAAAATTTATTTTTTAACACAGTTTTAGTTATATGAAAATTCAATAAATGTTGTTATAAGATCCCTACAACATTTATTGAATAAATTGCAGCGATCATCTGCATTATTTAACATATTATTTAGTAGTAATTTGACCCCAAAAGAGGTTATAATCACAGTAATTATTAAATTAGAGTGTTAAATGATAACGCTTTTTTCTGTAATAAATTTATCATCAAATAATAAATTGCACTATCACTAACTG